CCTTAGGCTTCTTTGGCTAAGGAAGATAGGAGCTCTTGGGGCCTGTGGCATCCTTAATGATGGCATCCAGAGTAGACCCAGACACATCCCTAGAAGGCTATGCAAAGCAAGCTTTTTTTTGGATGCAGGTTGCGCAGTCCACTATCTTGGTCAAAGTGTCCTTTGCATGTGGACTGATAGGAAAATCCTCCAGGGAAAGAGACTAGAAACCTCCAACAGCTTATCACCACTGTAGCTAAGGGCTATAGCAAACATCTGTGCTATTAGGCCAAGTCATGCATGACTGAAGTAAAAAGCTTCTCAGGAGGACGCACCACACCTTGCAGAGCTAGAAATTACTACAAAGATGGCATAAGCTCTAGGAGCAGGGGGCAAGATGATTCTAGGCTGCAGACATCAAACGCACAAGTAGACACACTGCAAGCAGCATTGGAGCAGTTAGTGGAGTGTGAGCTCGGGGCACCTGGAACAGTGAGATTGTCCCCTCATGTGTCTAAAATCATGCTTGTTGCACCGCGTGGCAGTGAAGCAATGTAGCTGAGGAAAGGCCTGAGGTAATTACAGAACTCAACCTTTGGTAGCATGGTAGCGGGTGTAGGGCCAGATATCAGAGACAGGCAGCAGGAACAGACTGATGATCAGGGTTCCTAGTGGCTATTTGCACAGCAGGAGCAGCAGCAAGGTGACACTTTCTCGACTCTCAATTGCGGGAATGAGTGTGAAGCATGCACAAAACTCCACAGAGGATGACGCCAGCACTCAGCCCCTTCTTGTCAACCCCTTCTGTGGTAAAACCAGCAGAGAGCAAGAAATTCAATGCGCCTAGCAGTGTAACAAGGAGGTAGCTACCAGTGTTTAGCTGGATCGGCCAGCTCACAAAGTGATTCTTTAGGGACAGGGCATTGCAAATGCAATGCCAATGGCTCTGGAACTGCAAAGTGCTTCAAGGCTAACTTGTTACAAGAACAAGGTCCGAAAAGTCTAACAGAACCCATTGCCCAAAGGTCACTTCCAGGCTAGCCCGGCAACGTCCATTCAGCAGGGTCCAGGTGTGGCACTCCAAATCTGGCTTAGGAAAGGCTGATTTAAAGTGCCATTGTGGAGATCAGCTCAAGCAGCAATGTAGGAAAGAATCTTGATTGAAGAGAAAGAAAAATGCTAGCAAAAAATGTAAAACAGAGCTACAGGGTGTCCTCCTAGGACACCAGCTAAAAAATGGAGCATGTTGGTAGGAGGGGCTATCCTGCGTTAGCTTACAGATTCTTTTTTTTTTAGTTTGCCAGTGTCCAATCTCCTGTAAGTGGCAGTATAAACTGGCAGTTTATGACTTCTGTGTCCCTCAAAGGGCCAAAAACAGCATTAAAATAGTATTAAACTCTCAAACTTTTTTCAATAATGAATCTAGATTAAACAAATATACATTGCACAGCAAAGTATTTCTTTACATTTTTGACCAAGCACTTATAGTCATATTTCTGAACAGCTGGTTGCAGGTCTCTCAGCTCAGCCTCCCTGACCATCCTGTCCAGTACAAGATTATAAAAAAGACAGCACAATCGCCAGCAAACTGTTCTTCTCCTAGCTTGTAGGAAGGTGGAGGTAGGAAAGTGGGCCTAAGGGGGGGGAGTAGCTTTATTTGCTCTGTCTGCGTGTTTGTGCAGACACACACAGCTTACTAGCACACACAAGGGTGACTCCATAGGATCCTCCAAGGGAAAGGAAACACCCTAAAACAGGATGTGAGGGACAATGCTCAGAAGACCAGGTGATACTGTAGGAAATATTGTGAGTGATTTAATCGGCATTTGGAATAGCTTAATACTATTTTGACTAATATTTACCTGTTTGGCAGCTTGGTTGCTGAAACACGGCTCTGTTGCAGAGCCTCCAGCACTGAACCTATCCCACACTTCCAAGTGTATGAAACAGCATGGCCCCTATTAGCCTCTTGATGACCCCTATGTCATTACTGTGTCCTGCAGTGAATAGGGGTGAGCTGGAGGAAGCAAAAGAGTCCGTGGGGGACCTGTTATCTTGACAGACCAAGAGAGTCAAATAGGGCCATTAATGTAAACAATATAGATTTTTTTTTTGCACTCACCGTAAAAAATATTTTTCTTTGTGTTCACTGAAGCACACAGCAGAGATAGTAAGCTCTAGACCATTGGGCTATATCGCCACCATCAGTATTAGGACACTAGGCACAAAAACAAAATCACAGCCTAGGGGTGGCCCTTGCTGGTGGCCAAACCCCCCACTTGCAGGAAGCTCAGTTAGTCACAAAGCAGAACAAAAATACAAGCCAGTTACCAACACAAGAACCAGAAGGGAGGGTGCTGTGTCCTTCAATGAACTCAGAAAAAAGGATTTTACAATGAGTACAAAAAGATCCAGCCCACTCTGGGTGCACCCAAGACAGTAAATCGCCCATATGGAATACAATTCTCCAGAACCAAATGGGCCAGAGCGTCACAGGGAAAGAAGGAAAACCCAGAGACCGCTGAATGGGGCTTCCTTAGGGAAGATAGGGTGGGCAAGGAAAACCTGCACATCCATAGGGGGAACACACATGCAGAAGGAGTCTGTAACACCCCACGGAGTGCGCATAGCTGTGAGTTCTAAACCCCCCCCCCCAAAAAAAAGCAGTCCACAAAGGCGGGATTGCAAGCCCTACTGCCGAACAACATACCTACAATTTAGTAAGGAAAGTGTGGATACAGGTGCGGCCGCAAGGACAGAAACTGACCACTTAACATTTCTTACTGCAGTAACCAGGGGAACCAGACAAAGGAGGTACCAATGGGTCTGCTCTGGGAGACTGCAGTGGACAACTGGAACCGAACTGCACAAACCCAATGGTAGGATAAAAGCCACCAGAAGTGGCGGCCCAGCTGCCTGAATGAAGTGCTACAACCAGGCATACAAAGCACTTGGGGTCCCAGAGTGGCTGCCAGAGGCTGCAGTATGGCCAGGACTGGAACCGCCGGTGACACAGCACTGTGTGCATGGCGGCCACAGCATATGGGGACGCAGCTTCAAGGACATCCAGAGCGCCTGTGTGCAGCTGAAACCAAACCCATTAGGGTGGCCGTATAGAGCTGTGTCCCCCAAACACAAAACAACAGAGCTCCTACAGTGAGCGAGAAACCGCTAAACACACTGCCCCCCATGAAAGCTGTGTAATACCAATGATATAATGACCCCAATTAGACGCTATAAAAGCATTAGGGAAGCCCAGCAGAGACATGCTCAGAAAGCACAGAGAAATGGGGAGAAAAGGGGTCCCCCTGGACAAATCCAGCCACCAACCCATAGCAAGGGAAAGAATGAAGGTCCCTTTGTACTTCCTACCACCGGATTCATGGGGGGTACCATCTCCCAAGACAGATCGCCTCCCACAAGCTGGGGTGCCGTCTGCCAGGGGGACATTGTGACAGAGCAACAAGTCAACCTGTCCTATGTGCCCCCATGAGGAACACACTTACAGACTGCATAGTACTGTTGCAGCTGACCCCACTGGTAGCGAAGGATCTTACCAGAGTTTACAGTTCCTTTCTTAGGAATGCAAAAAATCTGTTATAAAACCTTATCAGTGTGGTTGTGGGGGGTGGATCTGGTCTCTGCTTTCGACTCTACTTTCCCCCTCCCTTCCTAACCTACATTCTTTGATGCACTAGCTATTCTAATTAGCCAGCAAATCTGTAACTGCTGTGCTTTACAGGCAAAAAGCTCAGACCAGTTGTCTGTAAGGCACAGGTAAGGTGATTTGTATTGTAGAGTACAATGATATACACATTGCCCTCTTATGTGTTTTATTGATCTCTTAAATATTATTCTCTCATCTTTATAGTCCTCACACTTGTAGCTACGGTGGCAGTGACAGAAAACTCCTGTCACCATGGAAAACAGTCACTACAAACTCAGAGTTCAGCTTTAAACTTTCAAGGCATATTTGAACTTGGTGGTTTTGACAAACGTCTTAGTACTGGAACAGGCTTGCTGCATATGTGAGGCAGGAAGGCCACAGTGCATGCTGAAGCAGCTCCCAGATCACCAAGAGTGGAATGCAATGGCATCCTATTGCAGTACTTTTTAAAACTACAATACTATGAATGTAAGCCATGTTCCCTGTAAGCATCTCAATGCATCAATCTCCATTTTGACAGAAGTGTGTAAAGTAAACTCAGTTATCCGGTATTCAATTAACCAGAACTCTCATCTAACCAGGAGAAAAAAAATCCTCTGTGCACTCACTGTTTTGCTCATCTGTGGCATGTAATATCCTGGAAATGATCGTGTGTCTAATTGTCATAAGTGTGTCTATTTGTCTTGATTTGCTTTTGATTACTGCCTTTCAATATTAATATGAAGATAATACAGAGTTTATGTTATGATGTGGCATTAGACAGACCTATTTTTAATGGTAACTCTCTAGCAACCAGAAACTACATTTATCCGGAATCTAACAATCCCCGTGGATCCCGGATAACGGGCAATCTACAGTATTTTGTTTTTAGTAAACAGTAAACCTACTGCTTTATAAAAAAAAAAATAGAAGATAATGTCACCCAAACAAAGTCTTCAGTATCAAATTACATATATTTAGTGATGAAAAAGTTACTGCCAAATCAAGAGGCAAATTTCAAAGTTGGTCGGAAACATAACTTTCTAGCTTTTTTACATAAATCAACATGTATTGTACGTGTCTTTTAAAAGAATCACAATGTGTTAACGTGTACCCTTATCTTTATTAGTGTTTGAAGAACACATTTGTTGCCTTTATATCCACCCAACAGTGAATTTTTCCGTAAATTTTATAAATTGTAAGGGGGAAGTTGAGTGCATGCTATCTGCAACCCAGTTAGTTACTAACATAAAACCTTGCATTTTATGTGGCTGAAATCCTAATAAAGGATGCATCCATATGAATAGAATGTAGTTACTAAAATGATTCAAGTACACACGACAGGCAAGCAAGCATATTAAGCAAATGCAGGAAATAATACTAAAATCTTTACTTTTCAACAGGAATTAAACACAACATTTCGTACACAGTAATGAGACAAAATATGTTAGTTTTTTATCATCTTTAAAATCAAAATATTCCTTAAAATATTTACATTTTACAGTATAAAAAAATAGCAAAACACAAGAATGTACAAGCAGAGATTTCAAGTATTTAAAGCGCAAACAAATGTTCTAATTTTAAATTACTAACAGAAGGTGTAAGCTTAAAAGTTAAAATATATTTTCCCTATGGCAAGTGCATTTCAAAGCTATAGTAACCGAACGGCTATCTTAATACATCCATGGTAGAACCATCTCTGATATGCTAACGTTATGGAACTAATGGAACAGTGTGACTTTTCCAGAAGTAAGCTTTTTTTTACAGCACCAAATAATTATAGAATTTTCTTAACAGTAATTTATGGATCCTGAATCTGTTCGGGTTTTAAAAACAGTGCAATTAAAAAGATTTTTTTAAAGAACGGTTTTAAAATGTTAGCAATACTCCAAATGCAAAAATGCTGTACATTATGCACAATTTCTAACTAAATATCTCAACTGCATATTTAGAAAGAAATTTGTGGTGATTTTATATGAGGATTGTAAAATATTTGTTAAAAACATTATATTTTAGTGAGAATCAAACATCAAGGAATATATAACGGGCAGTCAGGCTTTACAATAACACATTTCTTTCCAGAAAACACTGACATGTAATAGAAAAGGATGGCACAACCCTAGTAAGGAATAAAATAAAAAATTTAAAAAGCAGTGTTTTCATCGTTTGCTTTTACTTTTGTCACTATGGTCCTTGCTCTTGTCTTTGTGGTGCCTGTCTTTCTCTTTTTCATCTTCTCGATCTCTATTTCTGTCCCTAGTTTTATCTTTATCATGCTCCCGATCCTCACTTTTTGATTTATCACTACTCCTCCTTTCTTTACTTGTTCTGCTGTCTGAAGACTTGTCACTGTGAGAAGCTCTAGATTTTTCTTTTTCTCTGTGTGACTCATCACGGCTTTTCCGATCTCTGTCATGACTCCTTTCTTTTTCTCTGTCTCTACGCCTACTTCTTTCAAAGTCTCTATCCCCATGCTTTTCACTTCCTGATTCTTTATCATGCTTTTTTTCCCTTGAATGGTGAGACTCGCTATAGAATCTTTGTCTATGTTCACTTCTGCTTCCTCGACTGAAGCTTCTGTCACGATCTGGTTTGTCCCAAGGGTCACTGTGGCGTCTTTCCTGAACCCTGTGATCCTTATGATACAGATTTTGAGGTACCTGGTACCTGACTGCTTCTGCATTTAAAAGAGGTCCACTTGTAACAGGCCCAAAAAAATGTGGTTGCCGAGGTATCTGAAGTGTTGGATGCCAAGCAACTAATGGATTGTGGATACTGGGATCTACAGACTGAAATCTAGTGGGTCTTGTAAAGTTGATACCTAATGGAGTTGGAAGCAGTGGTGGTATATGAGGAGGATATGGAAATATTGGACTGCCCTGCAACGGAAAGCTGGGAGTATGTTGGAATGGAAATGGAGGAGGGTTGCTCTTTAAAGGTAGAAAAGGAGGCTGTTGTAGCCTTAATGGTGAGAAGTTTCCTGTAAAAGTAGGAACTGAACTTTTGGTAGGTGTTTCTGCCTGTGAAGAATTTGATACATGTGACTGAGATTTATTTGCTGCCAAAGCTCGCCGAAATTGCTGCAGAGGATCTGTTTCATCAATAAGAAGATCTGGAGGATACTGCTTGGTATTTTCAGTTCTTGATGTTTCAGCAATTTCTACCTCATTCTTTGCGGAAGAGGACAAGTTGCTTTTAGATCTATCACTCCTAGATGTATGTAGATCAATTTCTTCACGGGAATGTTTCCTATTTTTTTCTTTTTTGTGTCTTAAAGTGGTTTCACTTTTTTTATCTTGTATTGTATCGTCTTCATTTTTGCTCATATTATAGTCTTTTAAATCTGTAGAGTTAATATGACTTCTTGTGGCAGCTTGCCTTGGGTCCCTTTTAATATGCATTAACTTTGACAGTTTCACAGGGGTTTCACTGGCATCTACAGATGATGAATTGTCACCATCAATGCTGCTTTTGTTTTCAGGAACTGGAGATACATTTGGATTAACAGTATCTTCAATGTCTTGATTAAAATCAGCAGGCCCTGTTGAATTTCCCACCTCAAGCACTTCATCACTTGACCACGCATTTATTTTGGCCAAATACACTTCAGTAGGAACATCAGGAGGTTTGTCTTTTAGGGAGACAGACAATTTTCCAGACTGAGATAGGATTATTGGTGCTGGATTCTCTTTTGTTTCTTCTACAGTGTTAGGGGTTATATCCATTTCTGCATCTTTATCAAGAATTGTTTCAGCAAAACTTGCTTCATCTTTTACTTGTTTAGTTTTTATTTCCTTTAATGTTTGATCACTGACTGTTGTGACAGGAGGTTTATGTTCAAATGTATTTTCTGTAATACCTAAAAGAGACTGCAATATGTCATCCACCGGCAATGGTTTGTTGGCTAGATCTATAGTTGAGTGGGGATTTTCCCATCCAACTAATACTCCTGGAAGGAACCTTAGCGGTTTTGGTGGCTCTCTCTTAACTGCCTCTGGTACAGGTTCAACACTTGCTTGAGGTTCTTCATTATCTGAGAGCTGAGGTCTGTTTCTACTCTTGTGTAACACAGCAGAGAAAGAATTGAAAAAATCATTTTCATCATCATCTTCATCTTCTTCATCATCAACATCATTTCTACTCTTTTTCTCAGGGACGCTCAATATTGCTCCTATTTGTTCATCATCAAGGCTTGTGCTGTGTTGCCTTTTCACTTTCTGACGAATTATCAAGGCCAAAAGCAGATTGGGTCTTCTTGTTTCTAGACCTGTATTAGGGGAAAATGAATTTAGATTAAAAAAACAATCTTTTTTTATATAAAAAAGATAAAAGAACCATTTACGGGGTCTCACAAACAGACTGTGCTAAATTAGAAACTTCTATACTTTGAACTACTTTTCCACTGCACATACTCTGAACGTTTTCACCCAAAAAGTGCTCTTAGTGTACAGTTAACCATTATCAGTTTAAACATTCCCAACACAATAGATTGTAGCTGGTGAAAATTAAATCCAGCACAGGGAATGTGCATGGATTCACCAGTTTACAACTATACCTCACAGTATTAGAGTGCGTATTGTAAAGCAGAAAAAAAGATCAAAGTCTCTTTAATTACACTTTTTATATTAGTATTTTGTTTAGCTCAAATTGTTTTTGTTTTATTGGGAAGCTCCAGCTATTCACTTCCCCACAGTTCTGCTAGTACCACTACATATTTTATAAGGATTTTGGCAAACTTTAGTGCAAGATACTAACCACACCTCTTCTGAAAATATTATGAATACTAATTTGCTGAAACTGTGTCGAAACAGAGCCAAATGAGAGGGACAGCAGGGAAATAGATAAACACAGCTAGTTCTATATAACACTGCAAGATGCCTATTTTTAATATATTAAAGTCCAAAATAAGTTAGTTGAATATAAATGACTAGTATTGAAACTTCAAGAGGGCGCCTAATGAAAACAATAAGCAATATTTTTTAAGGCAATCTATATGAACTAGTACATTTTTGTACTGGGGATGCACTCATGAAAAAGTAAGCAAGTATTCATATCTTATAAATGCATTTATTAGTAACATAGTATTTTTTTTTTCAAGGCTAAATCTTACCAGGTCCATCAAAAGGTACAAAAAAATGTGGGATTTTTTCAGAGGCTCCTAACGGAATTAGATACATGTCTTTCACCTGCCTCATATTGTTTGCTACTACACCGTAACGCTTTCTGCTACTAAAGTAAGAATAGAGTAATGTGTAGGAAATCTGATCTTCTTCAGTCTCTGGACAAAAGCGGATGACGCAGGTCTCCTAGGGAAAAAAAAATACGATTATCAAGAATTAGTTTAGGTACATTTCAACCTGTGCTACTCAGAACCATTGAAATTCCTTACAGTGAATGTCAAGAAAAAACATATGCAGTTCATCTCTACAATAATACATGCATATTTCCTGATATTGTATCCCTTTAAAGAATCATCAAGTACGGAAAAAATACCTGTTGATCTGCTAGAAATGCACTCAGCTCCTAAGTCCTGTTGTGGGTTGACAACACACAGCATAATTTTCGTGGTGGGTGGTGTCAGTCCTGCTCAGTTCTCTTTTGCTAAACTACTTAATCCCGCACACTCTCCCATATCCATAACCCAGACACTTATTCTTTAGTCTACGGGGGGGGGGGCAAATAATCTCACTGAAATAACACAGGAAGTGTGCAGAAGACATTGGGCATCTGACTTGATCAGCAAGTATTTTTTTTACATTTATTAAACAGATATAACAAAACACTTCAATTGGTATATTTAACAGAATAAAATGTAGAAAATATAGGTTCATCGTTAGGGTTTACACACACTTTGAAGTACAGGTGTATTTCGGTTGTAAAAACTTTGTACAGGTCGCAGATGCAACACAGGCCTGCATTACACCACCTGGCAGAGTTTATATCCAAGTAGAATCATCACTATAGAGCTTGTAGTCGCTACCGCGCATTGCATCACAAGCACCAGGGGAAATCAATGTAAACACTGCCTGGTATAGCAAAGTGCTAGGCATTGTAAATATGGATTAAACTGTGTATAAGGTCTGTGTGTTGTTATACTACACAGCTGGGTGGCGGAGGATCCCTTACAGGGTGTTTAGTAAAGCTGTGCTTCAAAGAGAAATGTTAAACTGGTTGGACGCAGAAGCGATCTGGCGACAGGTAAGTCGCCAGGATCGCTTCTGTTGTAAAGCCGACAGTCGGCTCTACAAGTTTAAACAGACTCCCGGCGGCAAAAGTCGCCGGGAGTCTGTTTAAACAGCCCCGATGCTGGCGACGTACACTGTACGTCGTCAGTCACGAAGGGGTTAACTGGTTTTACTTTATTATTTTACTATGTCTTTACACTGATGTGTGGTGGGGAATTTTTTCATTGCTCTAAAAAGAGATAAGTCAGTCCTTTAAATTTCAGCTGCAACCTAGCAAGAAAGAAAAAAAGAACGACAAAAGGGAGGGAGGAAACACTATTCATTCCATTTAACAGACTTTTAATGCTCTGCAAGTTGAGGTAGCTCGGCATAGTGAATTCTTCCATTTTTTTGCTAATGCTGTAATCAGCATATTTGCCAATACAATAGAAAAAAGTGCTCATCGTAATGCTGTTAACAATGCTCCGTCAATACCTGTTTACACTTGTTATATTTAGTAAGTAGCTTAAATACATAAATCGATTACTTACTGATCCTTGAACACCTGGGTCTTCTGACTTTTTGGCCCAATTCACACCACTGAGCTGCATTAGTACATGTTAAGGCAGCCCATTCATTTGAATAGTCTTCTTAATGCACCAAAAAAGGTGGCTGTAGCAATTTGGACAGCACACTATGCTGCAGAGCATATCCGTCTGCAAGGAACATTAGGATCCCATACAGCAGTGGTCTCTAAATGGCAGACCACGGTCCAGACACTGACAGAGTGGAAAAAACTGAACCGGAGAACCTGAATTATATAGTCAGTGTGGCAAGTTTACTCCGGACACTGAAAGTATTATTTTACCAATATGTAATTGTAAATATAATGTACATTGTTAAACTAGTGAGCTACCTAATAGAATTATTGTATCCAGGAAATATACACATACTGCATGTGAGACTCCTAAACTAACTTCATAATAAATCACACATTTTGTAACCAACGAACAGTCCACTAACAATCTGATGTCAGCATTACCAAAATGGAGATCACTTGTCAGATGTTACTAATTATGTTCACCATCAGTACCTTAGTTCCAGAGGCCTTAATTTTTTCGACATAATCCCAAACAGTCTGTGGCGAAATCCTTCCACCCACTTGGATACTATCAGGGAGATCCTATGTGGGACAGACAGACAGACATTTTTCAATTAGAGTTTTCAGGAATTTTTAGCACAGTAAAAAGAGAGAATATTTACAATCACAAAATGCACATTGCAGGTTACCTGTAATGCAATTTTCTTCAGTCTAAAACACTATAATCAGATGATCTATAATCTAGCTAAATTTTTTAAGATATGCATGTGAATGTAATCAGAACAGTGTGTCTTATCAATGTGTGTTAGTATTTGAATATAAAATATCCAATAGGGATGCACCAAAATAAAATTTTGAGACTGAAACCGAAAATTACTTTTTCCCCCAAACTTTAAAAAAAAATGTTTTGAATAATTTTCTTTTTCTTTACTTTACTGCTGGGGGTTCTGGGGAAATATCAGGGGTCTAAACAGACCCCTGATATTTCCCTTAAAAAAAAAAAAAAGACAGAGTCCTCAATCTCTTTTTCTGCAGCCCCTGTTATGAATGAACAGGAAGCCTCTATACTGAGTGTTCCTGTCCATTCATAATTGTGGATATAGTGTAAGTTACTATGTCCACAATCATGAATGGACAGGAAGTGATGTAGATCACTTCCCATTCATTCATATATGTCCACTATGTCCAGTTATTTACAAACACTCAGCGATCAGCTGATCCGTGAGTGTTTGTATACCGATCTCCATTCTGATTGGGCTGTCACAGGGGTGGGGTGAGCAGTGGGGGAGGGGAGCTCCGCCTCCTGTGGCAGAACTGCAGCGCTCTTCAAATCACAGCTTTCCATCCTGACACAGGAGGCAGAGCAGGGAGGTACGGGAGGAGAGCTCCACCCTCCTGTAAGATGACAGATGTCACCGCCCGCACCACATCTTTACTTCCGTCACCGCCACTCTGCCTCCTGAAAGCTTCTCTCCTCCCTGCTGGGCACCGGAGCTGCATCAGAAGGCACACAGACTGGTGCCCAGCGGGAAGGAGAGAGACTAGGGATACACTGAATTTTTTTCGGCCACATTTTTGGCCGTCGTGACATGTTCTGCAATTTGCCAAAAGTGCCATTTGCGGCCAAAATGTTTCCGCACCCAAAATTCTGGTGCATCCCTGATATACAGTTTTTAAATATATGTGTACAAAGATAGGAAAAAGGAGGTAGCCATACTTGCTGTCTACATATGCAGCCTGTGCTTCCTCCTAGGTTGTGCTGCATCCTGGTACTGCTATACTGTTTCTCTCTCAGTACAAGCCAATCATTCTGCTCTGACACTTGAGTGTAGCTTATCTTGTAGACTCAATTACCTTGCAAAAATACTGAGTATATTGCCTGATACACAGGTATCCATTAGATGGAGACTGTAAAAATATGTCTATAAAAATGCAATCATGAAAAATCAAATATGCATGTAGACCTCAAAATATAGATCAATTAAAAGTAAATGTGTGCTTTGTTAGGACTCATAAAAGTAACAGGTTTACTCTATAGCAGGTACTACAAGGAATTTATACTTACCTCTCCCAGCCTTCTTCCTCCACCATCACAGCTCAGAGGATACAAGTTTGAGGGGTCCTTTATTGAACTAGGGCTGCTCAACTCCTGCTGTCGTGCTTCATCAGTAAAAGAAGCTCAGTGCCTCATATAACAAGTCTTATTGATTATAAAATCTTTATTAAAAGTTGATTTTGAAATGTATACCCATTATGATTTTAACATTATTTACTATTATTTGCTTCCCGATATATATACATATATAAACATTTTTAAAGATATATAATACATATCTACATACACATTTTGTAAACCACATATTTATTCTGGTAGACCATACCAGTTTTATTATGTACTTGTAAGCTGAGAAAGGGGTGCATATGTTACTGGAAACATGCTGGATATACATGTCTACACCAACTTTATTAATAAAGATTTTAAATCAGTAAGACAAGTCTATACAAAATACCTGTTACAACGGAATCCCCAAATGTGTGCTTTCTCATATTATAATCTGGCAAAAGGGACGCAGCAGATTTTGGTTTATAAGACCTGCATCTAGGAGGATGGACACTTGGCAAAAGCAGAAGGGTAAGCTCCTCCTTTTGTGGACTCTGCTCAGGAAGTGAGAGCTCAGGTTTAGTTTAGTGTATTAGGAGGTTCTTTTCTGCAATGAAGATTGGGCATTTTTCAGTTTCCAATGATCTGCAGTCAGAGCATTCCTGGTTCCTTTCCGTGTCACAGCAGGTCTTCAAGATCTGGAGGTGCACTGTCAAGAAATATTCCCTGCATGCGACCTCTACTCCCAAATTCTGAGACTCACTGGAGCGTTTAGTAATAAAGAGCAGAAATACTTTCCTTAAGTTACTTTCCTTGAAGGTGAATTACAAAAACAAATGCATATCCTAGCTCTGTGGGAAGTAGCTGGTATCCTTGTGACAACACTGTTTTGATGAATGGGTGAAGATCCCAAATCCAATTTCCTGAATGATCTTGAAAAATTTGCCGATTTGTGCAACAGTCATTAGCTTTGCTATTCTCCAGCTTATGCAGTCTTATCTATCATAAACAGGATCTTATTTCCAAACAGTCCTTCAAAAGAAGGAATTATATATATATTTTTCTTTCTTAGCTTTTTCTGATAAACATGTAAAGGAATGGAACTACATGCAATGTAATCTGCTCAGTTTTTCCACTGCTATATGTTTGTCCCAATTTGGGCTCTCCCATAGATTAGAGTAGCACCACACTTTACAGAGGCACCTTGGTATGGAGGTGTAGCTTCACACATTTGCAAATATATTCAGCTATAATCTAAATTTTAGAAGCATATTAAAGGTTATTCTTGATGCTTTGCAGGATTGAGTGCTAAAGAATATTTGTGTTGTTCATTTACTGTGAACTGCACAACCACCTGCTAGTTACAAATTGAGCAGCTGCAACTTTCTGGTTAACTTGTGAAATAGCTCATCTTAAGCTGGGCACACACCTTACAACCATTGCAAGACTTTTGTCTTGCGATGGTTGTAAGATAATTAAAAAAACGTACGATCTGCCTATCTTGGACAGGCAGATCGTAGTTGCGATGATTGCAAGCCCGCCCCGCTGAGGGGCGGGCTTCCGATGACCACAATGCCGAACGGGCCTTGTGCACTTGCGCACACCGGCCCGTCCGGCTTTTATCTTACGAACATGCTACACACCCGCTGAAAATCATACTATTCTCGGAGGGTTTTGGAACATGTTCGTAAGATAAAAGTCATGAGACCTTACAGTAGTAGAGGTCGCACGGCTTCCACACCGCTTACGATAATCGTACGATTGCGGGATTTCCCGCGGTTATCATACGATTATCGCAAGGTGTGTGGGGACCTTTAGAGTTAACAATCTTATTATTAAAAACCCGCTTTTCTCCATATATCTTGTAGCTACACATATACATTGGGCAGCTACATTTGCTAATTAGTTCTGCACATTGAATGCACATTGTTTACCACACTGCAGGATCTGTCTGTTTGAAAAAATACTCACTGCAGTCTCCAATGACACAGCACAATCACAACACCCCTGGTATTCAGGGACAGCATGTGCTAGGCTCCCTAGACTTTAGGTCACATGAGGGAACTCTGTTGCAAAGCATTTATTTTGTTCATGATTAAAAAATACTTGTTTACTCAAACTTATAATGTGATTTGGGAATGCTGACGCGTGCCCTATCAAGTAATATGAATTGTGAGCTTTACAAATTGATCTATTTTAAACCTATGTTAAGAAAAAATCTTTCTGTAAGCAAACAGATTTGACATTTGTAATCTTTGCACATTTGAGCACTTGGATTCCCTTAAATGTACAAACCTTTAACACTGTCTCTCATTTTAGCGAAAGAACAGTATATTCTCCATTACAATGAACAGAGACACAAGAATTTGCTGAAGGATGGTGGGAACCTTCAGTAATTTCACTGTTGATCGAAGGAAGCAAAAGGTGTTGTCGCATGGAGAGATGTATTTTGTTCATTGCAGATCATGCAATGGGGATGATAATAACTGATGAATAAGCAACACATATTAAAGACAATTATATGATTACCTCTGATAAGTGGTCTAATGATCCAGATACAGGGTATGCTTTGATAATAAATTTTGCCACAGAAGGCATATTAAGAAATCCTTTCCAAATGCAGGTCAAGCGGGACAAAAACGTAGATTCATCTTCAGCCGCTTCAGTAATATTAAAAGGCTCTGAGCTAAAAGAACAAGAACATGAAAAAAATAACTTTTCTGAAAGAATTTTTAAAAAACGTTCACTGATAATTCATGTGTGCTACGCAACTTAAGACTTTAAAAATATTGATTTATTCTTTATAAATACCTCTATAATACCCAAATATAAAAAGGATATACTGATTTCATTAATATTTTGGTGATGTACCAAGTGGTGAATTTTCTACAGTCTAGCAGCCAGGCGAGAACGAGGTTTGGGTGATTATATCTTTGTTATTTTAGATCCAAGACGAAAACGAGCGCTTAACCTTTGCAGTGCAGGGTTAGCCCCACTGCAAGGGTTACATTTTATTCTGCCTGGAGTTCTTTAACTGTTGTTGTTCTGCTGATTTTTTTATTTCTTATTTCTATTTTTTTACCATTAATATATCTTTTTTTTTTTTAATTGCATTATTTTTAGTGTTCAATTATAAACATTACAAAACTGAAAATAAGAGCAATTTTGCAACTAATCAAGTGCACTGTCACACCAAAAACATACATTTGCAGCTACTGCTGTGACTGTAATTCCAACTTTTACACACAAAAAAAATCCCATGTTTTATGAATGGTTATGGGGAAAAAAACATTAATATCAACAATCCACAGAGGTGGCTGATTTGTGTTTAACTGAAAAGAGTGTTATGAGAAGAGGGGACACAGTTGGGAAAGGATCAATGTGACCAAAGTGGACATTGCAGAGAGAGAGGATTTTTAACAAAGTGGGAGACAGCTAGGACAGAAGCAGTAGGGGACAATGCATTAAAACAGAAGCATTAAAATTGTGGGGAAGATGGTTGAGGGGGAGGAGGATTCGGACCGCGGGGGACAGGGCATGGAAAGGGGCATTCTGACAGTGGGTGGGAAGAAAGGGGGGTAAACATTACAAATCCGGGATAAAGAGACAAAGGATAAAAGAAAGGATAAAAGAGACAAATCCGGGATAAGAGCATTCAAGTGGTGCTGGAACTGGATGGAAGGTTAGCATTTTGATAAATGGGGGCGCAGCCAAGAAAACAGCTTTAGGACAGCAGGGGACACAGCAAGGAGAGGAGCCTTTTTACAGCTGGATCAGGAGAAAAGAGTTCCTAAGAATGGTGGGGGGGGGAGGAGCACATGACAGAGAGAAGAGGGGAGTAAGTCTGAACATAAGAATTCTGAAAGCGGGGACTACTGATGGGAGAGAGGCATGAATGCATGGCAAGAAGCTACTTTAAGCATGTGTGGAAGGGAGTAAAGTGACAGGGAGATATGGGTTCTTTCTTCTAAAGCTTGGGGGTACGCTGAGGGGAGAAAGATTAACATTGAAATGAGCACCAAAAAGCTAGGTTACCTTTGAGCTATACTAAGAAGTACTGCAAAAATATGTACAGTTTACCTAACACATACTAAAGTTGTACTGGGTTCAGACATTAAAGTTCGTTTTCAGGATTAGGTAGCAACAAAGTTATCGCTGAATAAATAGGCCAATAGCGGAAGTGGAAAATTGCTCTGGTCGATATGAGGGTATAAAGTTACAAGAGCTGCAGTGGATATAAAACAAATAGATTACTGTTAAAAAAAACAAGTTACCTTGGAGCTGAAAAGAATGTTTCCTTTGGTGATTCTGGTTTCTCTGTTTCTAGAATATCCATCTTCAAATTACCAGGTGCAGAAGATGTTTCTGATGTAGTGTCAGATTCTTCACGCATCCCACCCATAGACACTTTCACTTTCTTAGGTGACATATCTTCAGCAGGTGGTGCCATTCGACCTTAAATTATAATCAGAATCTATATTTTAAAGAAAACTATTTATGTGTCCTGGCCTTTGTCAGGGTAAGGGAAGAGAGGACAGAAAAAAAAAGAAGATGGGGAGAAGCAAGAAAGAGGGGTACTCTGGCTGACTGTTTATCAAAAAAGTGTGAAAATTAAGACCAGAGGAGCTAAGAACATGGAGAAGGAAACATGAGCTCCCATATATATGGACATAAATTAGACCGTATTTGTACTGTGTGGCTAGCTTAGATTGCAGGGATGATTTTGACACCAAGACCCATACTTTATGTTTGGGTACTGTGCCTCAAAGTTATTTCAACTTTGATATAGAGGTGTGGCATACAAATTTAAATAATCCTTAAAAGAGCTATACCAGGGCTCAAAATTTCAGGTCCTGAGCTACTAGCCAGGCCTTAAATGTTACTCACCCCCAGTTGCCCTGCCTGACCCCACTCCATCCTATCCTTCTTGTGCACAGATGTACCGAGTATACCTGGGAACAAACTAATCATTCTCTTGCTGGACCAATAGCAGGCATAGTACAAACACACACAGGGCACAACAGGCACACAGCACAACACACAGGGCATATGCACAGCACAACACACAGGGCATACGCACAGCACAACACACAAGGCATACGCACAGGACAACACACAGGGCATACGCACAGGACAACACACAGGGCATACGCACAGAACAACGCACAGGGCATACGCACAGCACAACACACAGGGCAAATACGCACAGCACAACACACAGGGCAAATACGCACAGGGCATACGCACAGCACAACACACAGGGCATACGCACGGCACAACACACAGGGCATACGCACAGCACAACACGCAGGGCATACGCACAGCATAACACACAGGGCATACGCACAGCATAACACGCAGGGCATACGCACAGCAAAACACACAGGGCATATGCACAGCATAACACACAGGGCATATGCACAGCATAATACACAGGGCACACGCACAGCACAACACACAGGGCATTACACATACACACTTGCTCATATTAATCAATACATTCATGTGTCACCTTACATATTCCAAACTGTATAGATCCTGTGACACAGTAGGGGTTAATCACTGCTCTAACATCTGCAGAGTTTACTTACAGTTACAGCAGAAACCTCGGGTTTCAGAGCCACTCAGGGAACTCAACTCAGGTTGCTCAGGGAACACTGATGCTAGTTCTCTGGGAAGCTTGCACTGAGCATGTGTAAGCAGCCAGGACGTTTCCCCTAGTCAGCTCCTGCGCTCTGAGGAGGAGCTGCTCATCCGTGGCTGGACGAGCACTACAGCTGCCTCTGTTTGTGACAGTGCCAGACTCAATAGCTTCATTTCCACTCGTCCCGACGCAATTATCACTCGCAATTTGCGAGGGGGTGAGTGGAAATTTTGAGCCCTGAGCTATACCGTAGTAGCATAGCTTTTAGTGCAGCAGACAATGCTGTTAAGGTCTTTGGTGATAACCTAGACAAGCAGTGGTATCCAGTGGTTGGGGCTGAGCAAGGGGCTAATTACTCAATCCTGTAAAGAAAATAATTGCTGCCATGTTCAGAACAGGAGGCCAAGGTCCTTCATGGGCCAAAGCACTGTTTTGAGTTGCCTAACAATAGTAGATTTGAAAAAAACAACAATTGCAGCCTCTCCTTTAAGATATGTTGTACTAATTTTACACACAATGAAATTAAATCTAATGTTGATTACATTTGTATGTGGGGCCAATTCAGATAAAAATAGTACAAGTAATTGTTATCTCATAATTTTAACAAAAGCAACAAAGCCATTTGTTTGTATTGTACAACACTCCCGAGAATAATCCCAAAAAGCCTAAAGCAGCTATAGATTCTAGAGAGGCCTTTCTGCTGAATGGTGAGTTCCTGATCAGCTTAAAAAACTTATCTGTAATCTACTGAAAGACACCAGATGCAAGATATGCATTTACTCACTGACAGTGGCCTCATTACAAAGAAACAAAAAATGTTGCTATGAGAGAGGGAAGTGTAGTACTGTGTAAAAAGAGAGTGGAAAGAGCGGTGTTTTGCAGACTGGGAGAGATAGAGGAAAGTGCAGTATTGTGCAGGGAGAGAGAAAAAAAAAACGTATTGTGAAAGAAAAAAGTGTTGTGCACGGAGAAAGGGCAGTATTGTACAGAGAGTGAGAGAGAGAGAGACAGAGACAATAGTGCTCTTTCCTCTCTCTCTCTCACTGTCTGCACAATACTGCTCTTTTTTCACACACACACACTGCAGTTCGCTCTCTCTCTCTCTGCACAATACTGCCCTTTCCTCTCTATTTTACTCTCTGCACAATATTGCGCTTTTGTTTTGTCTCTGCACAATACTGCTCTTTCCTCTCTCTGTGAACACTGCTATTTCCTTTCTCTGTGCACATAACGGCTCTTTCTTGTCTCTGCACATAATAGGACTAGCTTTTAACTGCTCTTTCCTCTCACTCTCTGCACACCACTGCTCTTTCCTCTCACTCTCTGCACACCACTGCTCTTTCCTCTCACTCTCTGCACACCACTGCTCTTTCCTCTCACTCTCTGCACACCACTGCTCTTTCCTCTCAGCACAGTACCACACTTTCCTCTTTCTGAACAAGAATATTATTTTTTTCTTACTCTCTTCCTGCCTAATGTTCTTCCTTCTCTTTCCTTACCTACTGTTCCTTTTCACACCCATCTGTGCAGTTCTCCTCACGTTGGTGAAGCTGCACCCTCCTTTTACAAAACCTGCACCGCTTATGGTTCCTCACTAGAATATTCTGTCCAGTTACCACACAAGCTTTTACAAATTAACATCTACAACAGATAGCCCTTTATTATATTTACCAGACACACAGGTTGCAAGCAGTTAGGAAACAGTAGCACATTACCCTTTGATACTGTGATACATAAATGTGTCAGACCACACAGGTTGTAAAAACACTGGTTTAAGTATTCATTCAATAAGTCTGAAATTATAGGATTAAAGCACACAAATCCCTTGTTTTAAGTAGCTAATTATGTGGAATACCACTGCTAGTTAGGAGACAGAATTTGTACTAATGCAAGCATAAAAAGACTAAAAAAATACTTAAAGCCTTTCCAATAAATATTATATAAAATAAACAAAGAAGTTTATTAGCTGATCACTTCTACTAATATAAAGATACTACTAGTGATAGTTGCAGTATTTGCACAAAGTATAGTGCACACAGGCAACTGATATGTGTTTGCCAAGCATTTGCTGGGGTTTTTCAAGTGTTTGCCTTGCTTTAAGATTAACTTGTACATAGGGAAAAAGCAAACCAAAAACTGCTCTCACACCCACCTTGATTTTCTACCAATAATAATTATAACATACCTGTGCATATTTTACAGTTTAAGTCAAAGAGGTGATTTTTGTGGTGCGCTGTTGTGTCTGATGTAGACTCAGTAGGTGGATCTTTATCTTTGTGTGCTTCTTCCTCCTTTTCAATGGGTTTCACGACAGATTCCTGTAATTATATACATGAAAAGTATCATATTTATGAAGGAGAAGGGATTTGAAAAAAAAAGGAGCAGTGATGGGATAAAGGTATAAAACGGTAGATTTTTATTTTAATTTGCTCTTTTATTATTCCAACAAAATTTTCTGTCTGTATTAAAGTCTGTGATTTAAAAAACCAGTAAACCTGCAACACTTCAAACAGTCTATTCAGAGCCAGGTGAAGGCAAAAGGGATAAAGTTAAAATGGAGGAAAGGTAGGAAGCCAGGGAAAGAATAAAAATAAAAAGGAGGCGGGAAAATGTATAACAAAGGGGGAAAAACTGAGAAAGAAAAAGGAACAAAATTTTTTAAAAAAAAGAGAAAAAAGGAAAACAAAAAGAGAAGAGGAGCAAAATATTCATAATAATGAGACATGACGACACACATAATTTAGCTCTTGAGGTATTCTCTTTTCTAAAGTAATGTCCAATATGCTTCCCTCTGATTTAATAAGGTCACTCTAATGCCTCTATTTACGTCTTTCAATTCTTTCTATTATTTGAACTATTAGAGAATCTATTTTTGCATCATGAGCTTGTCTCGCCACACTAGTATTTACACCTCATTGTATATCATATAAATGATCTCCCTATCGCAGTCTCCTACTTTTTCTACCCACATATTGTATTTTACAAATCTAACATATACAACAAATCTTGTATCACAATTCGAAAGTTGTTTAATCTCATCCTGTTTGTTGGTGGCACAAGATGCCACAGTTCTGCTATCCTCCAACAGGTTGCAACTGGAGCATCTGGTTTCACCATACCTACAAAGAGCTGTAGTCTGCACCCAGATGATTTCTGTTTCTTTAGGAACATATTCGAAGACATCTGTTGTGCTAATGTTGGATTCTTTTTGGCTACAAATGCACTCCTTTATCCAACACTCTGTGGTATGCTTTGTCACTATAAAGAAGCAGTAAGTAAGCATCTCTACACAATTGTTTTAATTTCATAAAGTGCTATACTTTATTTTGTAGAAAAAAAAAAGGAGCAATTACCCCTTCCTCCCTAACTCCTCTCTTCCTCCACGTATCACATAATAGATCCTCTTTGTTTGTACTTTTAGCATATTTTAAGTTACTTCTACACTGCTTTTATTCTAACCTCTCTGATAAAAAAAATTTCATTTTATTTGCTTGTTTTTCAAAAAATTCCATGTTGTAGACCAAAAATTACCCCCATGGTACCATGGTATTGCTCTTACTATGTTTCTTGGATGATAGCTCCCGGATGATTGAATTGTTAGAAATTCATTTTCTATAAGGCTAAAGCTGGCCATATACTAATAGTCTTTTTGTTGAAGACTATTAGCCCTGTGGGCTAATAGCGTGGATGAGGAAGTCTCATCCATCGGCTATTGTATTCTGACTGCAACATGTGTGCTCCTTCAACAAAAGTCTCAAATTATATAGATTATTGTTCATATACAGTAATGCATAAATTCAGATGTCTCCAACCCATCATCCACCACAAAAGTCAAATCATCTTTATACATGGCAAAAAAATGAATTTGTCTCCTCCCAGTAGTAATACTGCTGGTAAATGAAGAGCTACTAAATGTAGCACTTCCTCTGGGCTGAAGTTCAGATCAGAATGCACACACCTCTCTGCTGAACAGGAAAAATTCAGACCAGTATCAGGTTCAATCTGAACCCGATTCTCATCACTAACAATAAACCACCAACATTACAACGCAACACACCCGATGATCTTCATCGCAACTACAAATGCAGGTTTAAGATATGCCCAAAGAACGTTATTTAAAGGATCTGTATATTTTTAATGTTGCCTTTTAAGCAGTATTAAAACCCCCTTCCCATACTGAATGGTAATTTTTTTTTATTATTTGATTGTTACATGTTCCCCGTGGCAGTGCCAAGCTATCCATGCTCTTGTTTTAACAAAAGCTTGCATTGGCCTTGAAAAATGCCAGAAAAAAAATACAAAGATTCAGCATCTATGGATGTCAGTAGGGTTTGCTGCCATGTTTGGGTTTAAAGGATCTTCTTCTGGGATAACCAAGCCTCCTGCAAACCAAATGTTTCCCAGTTTGCACATCCCTACCATAAACTATCAACTGTATGGGGCATTCTTCTCACTGACCCCCAAAGTAATGGGGCATTCTTTCCATTGACCACCAATGTAAGGTAACCCTGCCTTTACTCTGTTAACTAACCAACAATGCAAAAGGTTACCTTTCCAACCAATGTAAGAGGGCACTTATCCACCTACCACTAATGTAAGGGTACATTAAGTTGACAACACAGGTCTTTGTGCATTTCTCCACTAACCATTAAATGTAGACGGACACTACAATTTTCACTATCTGCATTTCCTATTCTGGTTATCGATATTATTTGTTTCATGATTATTTTGCTGTATAGAGCGGGGAAGTGTTAAAAATGAATGGCTCTGTGTATCACATATGCTAGGTACACCATTTCTTTATTCTTTTAATTTTTTATATCAACAACATACAGATCAAGTTGATCCTCCATGGAAATGCTATAATTTTAGCAAGAGTTTCAAGACACCTGAAAATTATTTAAAGGGTTAAGAAACTGTGGTTATGAGTATTGCTAACTATAACATAATAATGCTACTGCTCAATTTTATTGGAACGATCAAACAATGGAACTGAATGATCCTTTGTTGTCTTGAGTAAAATATCATTTGAAGCAATCAAATTTATGACCGATCAATATTTATCACACAAACATATATACAGAGGTATATATGTCACAAGAAAAAGAAGACATTACCTCTGTGTCCATGGCTTCAGGCTCTTTATTAGGAGCATCACTTTCTATTTCAATTTCACCCTTATGTGTAATTTTAGTGATTGGTCGCCGTTCCACTTCACGTTGTTCTTTTTCAATCATCTCAATAGTCTATGGAGGGGACAGGAGAACCAAAGTTTTACTTTGCTTTGTTCAAGGATTAAGAAAAAAAGAAATTTTTCAGACGTGAAAAGGACATCATCAGTTAATTCACGCTGTAAAAAATAAAGGAATGTAATACACCCTAGCCATTTTGCTACATCAAAAAATGTTAAAAATCAGGTTTTAGTTAGGCCTATCCCCATTAATGTATGAGGTAGTTAGAAAGGGAAATGGTGCACACATCATTTACATTTACAGTGTGTTGACCAGTGTTTTCTATTCAAATCAATTAAATAAGGTCTCTCAAAATGCAGAATTTGTTTTAATTAGAACGACACCTAAAATGCAGAGACCTATTTATATTAATAGAAGTAGTAGAAATTGTCAACAGCACACCACAAATATGTACAGCAAAAAGTCCTGTAATGACAGATTGCCAATCTGTCATTACAGGACTTTTTGCTGTACATATTTGTGGTGTGCTGGTGACAATTTCTACTACTTCTATATGTTCACGGTGCCGACCGTGGTCGCTACAAGCACCCGCCTGCTTTGCAGGTTTACTAATTTTCCGGTAAGGAGTGCAGCTGGTTTCCTACTATACACTATTTATATTAATGTTACACATTTCTGTTAAGCAGGAAGAAAATATTACATGTCTGTTTTCCCTTTGCCTCCAAGCTGCCAACTCTTTAGATGCCAACTCCTCTGGTGTCATCTTGATGAGATGTTCTGGAGTGATGTCTCCTCTGAGGACTCGCTTATACAACACCTTTCATATAAAAAAAAATAAAAAAAAATGAATGTGTAACCAATTCAAAGCTGATAAGTAGAAATAGATTAATATTTGCAAAAGAAAAAAACCCCAAAAACTTACATTGTTCTTAGGATCTCTCAAGTTAAACATTAAACTTCTATACTTATTCTTGTATTTAGAATCTGTATCTCGATAAAATGAAAATAACTCCTTTTCAATCTTGGCTGAAACTTTGGTAGCCCTTTCTTCGGGAATCTTTGAGGATGATTGTGAAAGTCTATTTAAAAAAAACAACAAATATACATTTTAGTAAACAGTTCTAAAATAATGATTAAACAATAGGCATATTCAAATTTACTTTTAGTAGTTACCTGAAAATTAAATGTGGTTACAAAAATGCCAAACTGACATTCCATACACTGAAAGGGTTATTTACAAAGCTGCCGAAGGCAACCGTCTGAATAACCGAGCCAAACGCTGTTATTTGGGTTATGTCTTAACCCAAGTCAATGAATGCACCTCAATTGTCTGCCAAACTTATCTTGAACTTATTTCAAACTGACCTCACATAGACCATGAACTGATTTCAAATGCATATCTGCAAGTCATTTTTTAATCATTAGACTTTGAGACTGAACCCTTCTACATTATTTATTTTTTCAAAGAAAGTTTTAATTTTTTTTTTAACAAAGAAAGTTGCCCACTTTTACATATGGCTTGTTTCCCCACAGTCTGTGCAACTATTTCCTTTAAAATTATTTTCATACCTCTTTAATAGAATTTCTTTTAAAGATTGCCGGACACTTTGCCTTATTTGGTCAACAGATGGTTTTGGTGTAGAAGGAGAGGGATTTGGTACGCCTGATGAAGATCCTTTCTTTTCTGGTTTCTTTCTTTTAATGTCTTGCTTTTCACTAGCACCTGTTATCAAAAGCACCATAAATATTTTTGTGAAACAGAAATCCCCATCCCATTCATAAGAAAGCATAACAGCAATATCTAGGTTTAATATTCACCAGCAGTGCAGTTATTGATAGGCTGCAGCAGGAGTCACAGGAATGCGACTTAACTAAAACTATTGTCAATGAACAATAGAAATCACCAGCACTCCGTAAATGAAATTTAAAAAAAGTCAATTTATTTGGACTAAACGTCAAACATTTCGCATAATCTGGATTATGTGATATGTGTGACGTTTAGTCCAAATAAATGGACTTTTTTTGAATTTCATTTACGGAGTGCTGGTGATTTCTATTGTTCATTGACTGTTGTACACGGCGCCATCCGTGATTGTCACTGCAAGCACCACTATTTTCACTTGGACCGGAATCGCTGTAAGGAGTGCAGTGTTTTCTTAACTAAAACAGACACTTCACTTACATTAAGTAATAATACCTGATTTTGGAGTCTTTTCATCATTGGATGGAGCAGCTGTAGAATCTTTTGAAGGCCTTTCTCGTTTTTCCTCAGAGACTCGGTGAGATGCTGTGGCAGACTGCAAGGTCTTCCTGTCAGGTGCATGCTTCTTCATTTCCAAATCCTTCCTTTCTAAGACTTGCTTATTATCTCCAGAGCTCTAAAATCAAACATATTTCATAACTCTGCTCTTTAAAATAGTACTAATTATAGTGTTAGAAGCACTATTTTTTAAAATCTTAAGATTAGATTAAATATTTTAAGTCCGTTTTTAAACAGAGACATTTACAATGTTTAGAATTATAGGCCCAGCATGAAGGAAATCAATTACATTCCTAAAGCTCTTTTATAGATATACAAATATATAAATATAATATAATTTATAAATGAAATGGGATTAGCTTGAAAATAAACCTGTACTGACGTCCTTTAAAAATATTAGTTGCCTCACATGCTAATCCACTGGCATCAAAACGTTCTAAGTCACTGTGCAAGAAAGGAGCTCTGACTCTATTCTGGCGTTTCTGATTTACAAGCTTGTTCTGAGTCAGTGCCTCAGAATTACTGAAGTCAAAGCTTTAACATGACAGCCAAGCAGTTAGCATTTTCCTCAGGAGAGATTAGCAATGGCAGCCTCCATACATCTGCCTCTTTTTTTTTTTTAAGTAAACCTGTTGGTAACATAGATTGCTCTGGTAAATGACAATGTACATTTTCAGCTCATACCTTTGCCATAGCAGTGTTATCCACCATTCTCGGATACTGTTTATGCAATTGGTAACTTGGTTGGTATTTAAATAGCTAAAGATAATTCTCACAAGGCAATACCTGAGCCTGCTGAAAAGTCACAGGCATTACATTGTGCAATGATGGTACCCATAACACACACACACACCTAAAAGTTCCCAAAATATATAAAACACGGCACCGCAATGCATGTTAATGCACAAACAATGAAGAGGCACGTTACCGTTCAATTCAGATTGTACCCCAATGCACTATTACATTAGTCGACAATTCACCATAACAGCAGGGCACACCACAACGCACATGTAGTGGGTTGTGGTGCTTTGTGTTGAAAAGAGAAAAAAAAAGATTATCTCAATTTTTTCATGTGCTATGTTGTGGTGCCAATTAATCCATAATTAGCACACTGTAAACCTAATCTATATCGTGATTGCAAAACAATACCGGCGCCTTCAAATCCAAAAAGAGCCCAGCAGTAAAAATACAGCAAACACGATGGAGGCAGCTTGCACAGATTAGATGGACCACCAGTCCACCAGAGTGGCACCGCTGTCGAGCACATATGGATAAACACACGCATTCACATCCCCAAGTGGACATTTCTAAAATAATGTAGAATGTGTGTGTGTATATTCCCAACCCCTCTAAACGAAAAAAAAAAAAAAATAATTGTTTTTTTTTTCCCCTTTCCCTTTCCATTAAAGTGCCGACTATTTAGGGAGTAGATCCCTTTTTCGTAGATCCTTTTTCGTTTAGAGGGGTTGGGAATATACGACAGCGGTGCCACTCTTAGCAGTGGTTTTTAAAGAATTTAGGTGTTTTACTTTGACATCCATATATTGCGGTTATTGATGTTGAATATTATGTTCATTATTTGTATAACTCATATCTAGATCACTTATGCACCAGTGGATGTTAGTACACACTTTTATTAGTTTCAATGCATTTTGATGGCTGGGACAATTCCCATTATGGTTGGTTTCCATCCAGCTCTATTGGTGAACACTAACATCTACCAGCCAAAGACGAATGTATGTGAATTGGTTTATGGGTTTTGGATATGTGCAATATATTAATTTATTTTATACACTAATGATTTTCATAAGATGCATTTCTCATCACAAGTCACTTGTTGTAATCACTTGAATATATTACATCCATTTTTTATAGTAATCACTTGAAGTAATAACTCTAATATATTACATCCATTTTTAAATAATAATTACTTTGAGACAGTAGGGGTTTCTGTTATCGAAATTCTTTTAAATGCTGGGTTTATATCCCCTTTTTTCAAATAGATACATTGTTCCGCCATTTTCATAGGTTAGTGTGGAGGCCATCTAGAGACAGCTTTAGTGTTTTTATTTTCCAGGCTTTGAAAGTAGCTAGTGCATAAATACACTGTTTCAACTATTTAAGTTTTGTTGTATGAATTGTTTGTATCCTTTGTGCAGCTGCATTTGTCAGTCTGCGGCGTATAGATCATCCTGGTTGAGAACTGGGAAATGACTCCTTATAGTTTTTTATTAACCATCAGTTGATTTTGGTCATACTATACAAACTATAGGGGTACATCGTGTTTATTACTTTCCTTTAAGCTCAAAATCGAATTCCCTGCTTGGCTGCCGGTTTAATATGTCAGTCTGTCATTTATTGAGTAACTCCTATGGGGACGAATATTTAAAAGTAATCGTTACTGTCAGTCTGAAACACACTCTTGTTTCTGAGCTGATCTATGTCAATTAGGCGGCTATCGCATCCACATTATGTCCATTCCATGTATGACATTATATTGTGGATTAGCTCGAGCTGAAAAGTAATTAGAGATCACTTGCAGCTGCCTTCTCTAGATAAGCCTCCAACACCGACTGGATGATTGGACTAAAAATCCCACGTGACCCTCTGTCAAAGATTTAAGGCAGGATACAGGGGGTGTTCATTCATTGGTTCTGATGAAGGGGGCGTGCCCCAGAAACGCGTAAACCATTTATCAATACAGGGATCGAGGTTAAGGGTTCCGTCCTCTCACCTTATTCTACTGGTTTTTATTCTACCGAACTGTTGTAAGTACAGCCTTAGAGCTGCGTGTTTTTACTATTAAATACAATTTTTACACTATGGAGGCGCTCTCTTTTGTTCCTAATCTATATCGTATCTAAACCTATCTAAATCCAAAAACAAAAATGTCATATATTGCCGCTTGCTAGTCCTTTGATATGCTGGTTATATTAGTTTTCACTTTTCAGGGTAAGAACATTTTCAGCAATAATACTTTGAATGATTTATTTTTTGTAAACTGGGCATGTTGGGTATCGTTTTACTCGTTGTAACCTCATCTTTTATATTTCATTAAAAAAATGGGTAATTTGTTGTGTTTTGGGGCATTTAATTAAATTTGTCACTAAATTTGGGGGTTTAATAAGGAGTTGCGCTAATATTGCGCAACATAAAAATTTTCAACTACCACCATTTTATTCTATAGGGTCTTGGCATTCAGAAAATATATAATGTTGGGGGGTTTTACGTCATTTTCAGGCCTAAAATGTGGAATATAACATGGGTGCAAAAAATGAAAAACGGGCCTCAGTCATGAAGGGGTTAAACCAATAGCCCATTATGACTTAAACTGTACCTTTTTGGAAATTTTAACTTTGTGTTTTATGGTATCATCTGCCTGCTTCGATTTTTCATGAGGTACACCTTGACATCCTGTTGTCACGGGTTTATGAATTTCCACAGCTTTATGTTCTTGGAGTAGATCTGGTTTCTGACTATCACTAGAAGCAGAGGTTTCAGAGGTATCCATTTTTTCCTCTTCCACACAGCACTTTACACATATATACTCTTTGTCATCCACTTCCATCTGCTGTGCTTGACCAAGGTTTAGGCCAACACATTCTCCATGAAACCAATCATCACATCTTCCACATCCCACCATAAACCTGAAAAACAGAACTTCGCATTATTATAAATCAAACTTCAGAAATAACTTTGGTCATGTTATTTAATAACTCTAGCCAGCAAATGTTAAGAGGCTCTATAGCTCCTCCCCAGGCTGAAGTCCCAAATATGGGTGTTCCTTGAGGGAAGTGCACATACTGGAGCCCTGTCTGTGGTCTACTCTGATCCCTTACATTTACATAAAACTCTAGCTTTACTAAGCCCAAACCGTCTTGCTATTTTCTGCCTGGACTCAGCAAAGCTATCTATGTGTTTTATGTACATTTTGGCGAGCACAGGAGGCACAGACAGGCCTGCAGGATTAGAAGGATAGCTGGCAATTGTAGAGGAGGGGTAGCTGTGGCTGCATGGCCTTAGTGTGCACTCTCCAACATGCTGCCTTATCTCAGAGCTGTCACTCAGAAGGTCTGTCTCTTTTGCTTATCATGTCAGATACAAGTGTAGGGAGGAGGGGCTAGCAATCTGACAAGGCTGCTCAGGAACCACAGCACAGATGTAAATGGGGGCAAGTGCATTGTGCACTGTGCTCACTGTGGGATTTAAGGAAAGTTTTATGCTTGTGATGATACTTCTTTAGGGTACATGGAAATACAAAAGAAAATGTTTATTATAACAGAGGATTATAGAATTCCCTGACCTGTAGTGCATCATACTATACTGGTGGTACAAAAGGGAATTGGCAAACATTTTTTATTTTATTTTACTAATTTGAATGTATGTTCAGACCATCTTCAATTTGATTAGACAGCTTTGACCCAGCTTTTTATGGAACCTGCACCAAACCAAAATCTCACATGTTTACTTACCCTAACGGAATAAATGTAAAACAAATCTGCACCTATCTCTTGTACCTGACAGCTTTTTTTTTGCCCCAAATTGAATTATAGTTAAAATTATTCAGGATTTACATAGTGCCAAAAGTTTGCAAAGCACTTTACAAAATAAAGAGAAACAGTACAGTTACAATACAAAACAATGTAATAGAAGAAAGTTAGGAGGACACTGGCAAACAAAGGAAAAAACTGAAACAAGCCCAGGATAACCTCTCCTACTACCATCATGCCTCAACATCATTGTAGCAGAGCAGTACCTAGAGTATAATAATAAGCAAGAGGGGTGTGCCCTATGTCCCTCAATGGACTCCAAGAAAGGGATTTTGAATTATTCGCCAAGTACAAAATCCAAAAAAATGTTCTTGTCCATTGAGGGACATTGAGAGACACAGAAAGTCTTAAACCTTAGGGACACCCAAAAGCAGTCCAGCTGAGAGAACAGCAAACTAACGTTAAACAGGCCCATGAAAACCGAAAAAACTAGGGACTGTCTGTAGCTCAAACAGCCGCCTGTAAGACCTTACGCACACAGCTGGCATCAGATGAGGTCACAACAAGTGGCAGGTTTGAAAATCTGGGAAACAGTTGTTTGTTTGATGCCAAACTGCCCAAGAAGCACTCACAGATTTAGTAGAGTGGGCCTTGACAAAACAGGGTGGAACTCAATCTTTAAGACCATAAGATTCGATAATGGTTTATCTGAGGTGGAATGAGAAGCTGGTGCATCCTTACGGGACTCATGTGGGAAGATCCAGATGATCTGGTAGATCCCACGGATCTCTGCCAGAATTCTCATCAGACAGACAAGACAAGGAAGACGTTTCAGGGGAGGAAGGCATGGTGCAGGGTATTGACCCCACGGAGTCACTGTGAATCCACTGCTTTCACTAGAAGATCCCTGTACCTGACGGCAAATCAGCCAGAAAGTGCACATCCAGCATCTCCCACCTGTGATACAGGTCCTGGAACACCTCTGGGTGTAGGTACCACTCTCCCGAGTCCAGAAGTTGCCGGCTATAGAAGTCTGCCTGCCATTTGTCAATGCCTGGGATGTACACAGAGGACAAGGCTGGACAGGACAGGACAGGATGCGCTCTACCTCTTCTCACAACTATACGTCTGGATCCTCAATGATGGCTAAAAAGTCTTTCTGATGAAGGGAGGTGATGACCGACCTGGTGGTTCTATACAGAATTTCTCAACTGAATGAAGACACTCATTGCTTTTAAAGCCCAAATTGAACAGTTACACCTTTTGGATATGGAAACTGTGAACTGTTTCGCAGTCACACAGTTTAACCAAAGTATCCTGAAAATTTGTACGGACAGGTGACCCATGCGGGAGATAAGGAAACGTCCAGCAAACCATCAAAACTATAGCTTATAGCTACAACCATTTGCTACAAACGTTCTATGACCAAGCAATCAACCACAGCAGTGGCAAGATCTCTTTTAAGGGACTCTTACTAGTAAGCCAGGGTTTGGTAAAGCAGGGTCACAACAGATATGGGTGAAGACCAGGGCCTGCAAGCAAGAACGGAGCACTAGATAGGGCTTCCAATGGTTTACTGGTTGGGTCCTTAAAGGCAGACGCATCCTTCACCACTATGGTGGTTGCTTTGTTAAGCTGGGAGAATGCAGGATCCAGTGGGGAGACCACATTTTTTACAAGTTCCTCTTAAACTGTCTCCTTAGTGGATGACTTGGAACAGCAGGTGCACTGGGAAAGTATTTTGTGGTCTTACAGACCCCAAAGGACACAAGACTGGGAATAACACTGGTAGAAGCAAAAGGCTGATTCTTTAGTTTCAGAGTGGTATGCACCACATCAATAAGAGACAAAACAGTCTCTTTTTAAATTGGGAGTAATGGCAAAAGACTACAACTCTTCAGAGGCAAGCTCTTCAGGTTAAGACTTGAGCGACTCTGAATCGGAGTCTCAGCAGCTGATGGCTCAGACAACTCCAAGGCTGCCGGTAGATCATATAAGGAATCTGCAGGGGAAGGCGTGGGAGCGTGCTTGGGGCCTTTGCAATCAGAGTCAGCAAATAACTGGGTGATTTGGGCCTTTAAGCTTTGAATGACTAGTAAAAACCACAGCCGAGAGGGCAGAGTCAAAGAAAGACTTTGAAGACAAGATAGACTAGGAGATAGGAGCAGAGGGCAACAGGATTCCAGGCTGCATCAGTAATAGCACCGTTAGTAATGTGTGTGTTGGAAACACCCAGAATAGTGGGAGCGCTCCACATTGTCATGTCCGGAAATAGACAATCCTACAGGATTCCAGGCTGCAGACATTGGTTGCATCAGTAGTAGCACCGTTCGTAATGTGTGAGCTGCAAGCACCCAGAATAGTGGGAACATCCCACATTCCCATGTCCGGAACTAAGACATGTTGTTACCGCATGGCATTAAGGAAACAGAAAGCTCAAGGTAGAATGCAAGGCCTCAGGTACTCACAAAACCCAGACAGCTGTAGCAGGCGAGGATCAGATGGCTGGAGGTGACCAAAGTCACTATCGGTGGACAGCAGAAACCAATTGAAGTTCCTTGTGGCTCACAAGCAGGAGTGCAGCGGGGAGATGCTTCCTCAGTGCTGTATGGCAGGAAACACAGCACACATGCGCAATGCTCCACCCAGGGATCAGTGCACAGTCCCAGAGAATTTACCTCTTTCCGCAGTGGAAACCAGTGGGTAATGAGGAACTGTAAAGGCACCCAGGGACCTGTGTACTTGTGATAACTCCCTGACATTACCCTACATGGAAACACATGCCTAAAGTGTCACTTCAGGCTATCCTTGCAACATCTAGTCCAGTAGGGTATTGACATGGAATTCCAAAAGCCAGGCTGAGGATAGCTGCCACTGGGGAGACCTGCTCTAGCAGCACTGTATAGAAGAATCGTAATTAAAGAAAAATGTTGAAGAGTAAGAATAAATGGTGCTAGCAAAAATCAACTAGCCTTTTAGACAGCAGAGGTGAAGAAAAGACATCCCTCCTCCTAGGACATCAGCAAAAAACTAAGTCATGCTGGTAGTATGAGGGGGTTATCCTGGACTGGCCTACAGTTTTTTTGATTGCTAGTTTCCAATCCTCCTGTGGGTAGCAGAATATCCTAAAGGGTGAAAGACTTCCTATATCCATCAATGAAAAGAAGATGAAATTCCAGCTTCCCTTTCTACTGTATAACCAGGGTTCTCCCAGAGGTTGATAGGATTTCCTTGACCAGTGAGCAGCTGCGGACTGATCTTCCACCTGGTACAGAGTCACTGGTGTGGGACCAGGGAATGTTATTATTCTTATTATCCAGGATTTATATAGCACCAACAGTTTGTGCAGCACTTTACAATATTAGAAGAAAATATAGTTACAAGACACTTTCATGGGCAGGAAGGCCCTGCCCATGAAAGCTTACAATCAAAGAGATGTAAAAAAGACACTGGGAGGAATTTATCAAAACTGGAGCAGTAGGATCTGGAGCAGTTGCCTATGACAATCAATCAGCTTCTCTCTTCAGTTTGTTAATTTAAGGTTTAAAAAGGAAAGGTGGATGCTGATTGGTTACCATGGACAACTGCTTCAGATTTTGTCTGCTCCAGTTTTGATAAATACCCCCCAATATGATTTTCAGTGTCCATGTTTCTTTTCTAGCCATTATTATTATTTGCTTACATTCCTGATTGTTACTGAAAATTAGTTTGTTGTAGAGAGTAGGGTGGTGATAAAAAAAATGGGTGACAAATACATTAAGTAATGCTTACTTTTTTATTCTTCTATTTATTATACAACCTACTGATTACTCTAATTAACAATAAGCTGTAGATATAATTTTTAGCAATGACTCCTTCCTGCAAAATTATTTGATGGTTTCCTTTGTGGTTAAAGGTTAAGAAAGGCTGGTATAAATACTATGCATTGTATTATATACTATATTCTGTACCGTACTGCATGGCACACAGGAAACACAATTTGAGCTTCTGTGCAGCCTAGCTGCATTCCTCTCTAGTTATATAAACTTAACAGTACATAGTATTCTGCATTGTGCTGTATAATGTACTATTGCTGGGTTTTGTAGTCCTCTATAGCTGGTGGTATTCTGCATTGTGCTGTACAATGTACTATTGCTGGGTTTTGTAGGCCTCTATAGCCGATGTCATTCTGCATTCATTGCTGTATAATTTTACACTTTTTATTTCACTATATTGCACACCACACTTTTGTTTTCTTTTTTACTTCCACCGCTAAGCTTGCTCCTGTGATGGACTACACTCAATACAAACTAGTAGTGCATCACTGGAGCCATTTTTTAGAATGTATTTTATGTTTTATCCGATTAACCGATTAATCGAACTTAATAATCGGCTAACTAATCGATTTTGAAAATAATCGTTAGCTGCAGCTCTAAAATCAGATACATTAAAACAAGAAATGAAGTGACATGATTATACGGCAAGGAATAAGAAGACCATGGGGCTCATCTTAAAGTGAACCTAAACCCAAATATAAAAATGCAATATAATGCAATGTGTCAGTCCTTACATATGGTGGTCGCATTTGTTTTCTTTTTCAGGCTTTTTTACGTTTGTTTGCGAATAACACACTTCCTGTCCTAGGGTGGATACGCTCCCTCCACTCTATATATGAAGGGAGTCAAGCTGGTCACTGGGCTGCTCTCTTTATTTAGACTACTATACCCTCCTCCACTCTGCATCTCCATTACATAGGTAGGAGTTCATTAGTAGTTACAAGGACACTGCAATTCTGACAAGATAAACAAACAGTTATTTTGGTGTACTTGCAGAATATGTACTTGGCAAGAAAAAAGAAAACACCATAACTAAGTACAGCACGCTGAAATATATAACATTTTTGGTTTTGGGTTTAGATATCCTTTACGTGTCAAGAATTAAAAACGTAACTGAGTATTGTCCAAAATGTAGTGACTTAAGAGTCTGCATGCAGGAAACTTTGGTAAATAATTATACTGTCTTTTGCATAGACTATTGGAATGTATAAAGTGAAAATAAATCCCTTACCTAGATATATATTGAATTATTCATATTAGCTAGCAAAGGATCCTACCTATTTCCATGAAGTTTTCTGCATGAACTGCAATGTCTTGTTGGATTCCAAACGTACTTATCAGTTGGTGAAGATACTTCTGTTCCTTCTTTTTTTACAGTAGGTATGTTATCAGGAATAAACAAAGGTGGCTCGTCAACAGAAGCACTTTTGCTACTTCTTCTTTGTCGGGGTGGAAGTGACTTTTTGAATTTGGTCTTTTCTTCCGAATGCTCAGCTGCTTCTTTCTCTTCCCCCATGTCCTTTGAGTGAGGAGCCACTTTTGATAATGGCTGTTTAGTGAATGATTTATCACTAGAATGGGATAAACTCCTAGAACCTACATGAGATGACAGAACGTGGGATGTTTCTTTTGAATTTCCCTGACTGTCCCGTAATGCATCATCTAGCTGTTTTAACAATGTAAAGGAATTGCCCTTTTTTTCAGCCGAACAAGGCTTCTTTTTCATCGTAGTCTTTATTGGAATGTTGTGGATTTTTGCACTTACGGGTCCCTTTTTCGTTACTTTAATAATTTTCGACTTGTCGGGCAGAATTGGAGATTCAGAGCGAGAAATGTTAGTTTTTTTAAATCTACCCTTTTGATGAGAATATAAGCTGCCATCTTTTGAGGAAGCAATATTTTTTGTAGAATTTTCTGTAGCCATAGATACTTGAGCAGAACTGGGTTTTAGCTTTTTTGCACCTTTTCGATTACGATTTGGTTTTCCGAAACCATTTCCAGCTGACATTTCTTTTTCTGTAGTCTCCACTTTTTCACCACTTTCTACGTCTTCTGTGGTATTCTCTACTAAACTTTCTGCAACTGATATATCTCCTAAAGAATTACATTTGTTATTGGTATTCAGAACTTCAGAAGTAATAGAATTTTTGTCTGGTTCATTCTCTTGGTCAGAGCTGCCAACAGCATTTTGCAACATACATTCAACATTAATTTCTGGGTGCAACACTGCCTTACCACCCAAGTCACATTCAACAACTCCTGATAAAAGCGCAAGCTCTTGGTGAACTTTATCATATATTACATCTGTTTTTTTATCATCAGTCTGATAGTTCTCATTGCTATACACTTTTTCATCTACAGGTGCTTGTAAGACATCATCGGTCAAATTTTCTCCTTGAGAATTATTCAAATCCTGTTCTGTTTCTTCTTGCAAACCTTTATTAGAATTTCCACTCAATAAAATAAGAGAAACATTATTTGAAGTTTCAGAGTTACCATCGTCTTTTTGTAGTATGCTTTGTGTGTTTGATAAAATGTCATTTGTAGTACTCGCTTCTTTGTCTGTCTCCTTATTTGAACTATTTTCATCTGTAGTCACTTTATACTCCTTATTTGCTATTCTTGTTGATCTCCTTGAGTTCTGTGTGCTATTGCTTCTTTTATCATCACTTCCAATGTGCAAAATATGTTCATTATCTTCTGATTTATCAGCGGCTGTGTCTATTCCGGACAATTTAGATTTTTTTGGACTTGTAACCTTTGCAGCATTCAATGTCTTCTCAGTTGTACTAGGTCTTAGCGTTCGTGTGGATTCTGTTAAAAATCAAATAAAACAATAAGGGAGTAAAACACTGATGATCAAAAAAAATAAATGGAAATGTTATAACCATTAATATTAAATACTATTATTATACAGGATTTATATAGCGCCAAACAGTTTGCGCAGCGCTTTACAATATAAGGAAGATATTACAGTTACAATACAATTCAAGACAAGATGGTAAGGAGGGCCCTGGCCGTGAGGGCTTATTAAGCTAAAGCGTGTAAAATGATACTGTTCAGCTCCAATGTGAAGAGTATCTGATGAAATCCTCACCTCCTGATTTGTGCTATTCCTGTTTAATATTAATTGTTGGCCACAGTGGTTAACAGGCAGTCCTCAAAACCCAGATAGGAAGAACAAGAGCATTAGTGGAACAAGTAGTCCACATGAGGAGAAAGATATGGTTTTGTGAAACAGAGTATGCTGGATAGTGCAGATAAAGCTACTTTAATAAATATAAAATGTAAAGCTTATAATGAAGCGACTTTTTCAGATCATATCATCAGGTCACACCTACACCACGTGGCAACAGGTCACACTGACATGCTGTGAAAATCTCACAAGGTAGCCACCAATGGAGAGAGCAGAAGCCAAGATAATTATACTACACAGTACTCTATAACATCCCCTGACCATATGGAGCAGTTTAGGTGCCATTTTCATGCTCTCCTTAGCCTTCATCAAGTACCTCAACTTAACTCTGAAGTCACAGCCCCAAAAATGTCAGTACTGTAGAAGAGGTGCTCCACTATTCAGGTTACACATTTGTGTGTGTGTTTGTCGTTTTTTGCACCAGCCTTGAAAACTTTTTGTAATTTTTTCCACTTGGTGCTTACAGTATATACCTTGCATATACTGTCCTCCCATATTGCCAGCTAACTAATGATAGTGTCTTAGCATTTGTTGTTGTGACCTGGTGCACCAGGGATGATCTGACCCGATAATATTCCCTTATGAAGTCACTTCATTGTAAGAGCATTTTTTTTAACTTTACATTTAATACAGTGGTTTTATCTGCACTATCCAATGGGCTATGTTTCTGTTTTTATGTTTTGCATGTGAATGTGGTCTTTGGATATACACAAAGCATGCAAGGGTATGTGCACTTGCTTTAGTACCAGTGTAGTAAGATTTGCTTTTCAAAATAAGGGATGGTATGTTTGCCTTTATAGACACCAACAAAAAAATAGCTGACCCTCTCCAAAGTGATATATCACAGGCTCAGAAACTGGCTCTTAAGTTTCTGTTTAACTAGTTTTTATTGGATGGATTTGGTCATTTTACAGTACAATAAAGGAAGAGCTCACATCTGTTAGGGTTCATCCTATAAAGACAAATATAAAAAGTAGGACGATACATTCTGATCATGGTTACAGCTGTAAGGGCCGATTCACAACTGTGAGGTGCCTTAGCCGCATGGTTCAGTGAGATTATCGCATGCTACCGCACAACACACCTACCATGTATTATAGTGTGGGAGGTGCGTTTGCTGCCATTCATTCAAATGGAACCCCGAAAAACTAAAAACAAAAATAGAAAACAGTGCATGGACTACTATTTTAAGCCACCACGCACCACAATGCAGCCAGAGGTGCATTTGGGGTGCCATTCAAATGATTAGCAGTGCGATTATTGCACCGCACTGGTGTGAATCGGCCCTGGAGAGTGATAGTTTTTGTAACTGCATGTAATCAGGGACTATATGAAGTTTGTCCCATTTGTGAAACAACTTTACTTGTTTCATGTGTAATTAAGCAGCACAATATGAGAGATATTGATTTATGTTGAAGTCACATAAGTTTTGTATATTTCCCAGATTTGGAATATTTGATGAACTTTTCTATTAAAAACATTAAGAGTATAGGTTTATATTATATTTAAAGGGATTACAGTTGGAATTTAGTTTGATTTTTGTTGAAATTGGTTATTTATAGTAATTCTAGTGCTTGCTGCTTGATTTAAACACTTCAGATTTTTGTTTGGCGCAAGGTAGTTTTTTCACATTTTGTTTTTAAGACTTACCATGTGCTTTCAAACGTGGTGATTTCCTTAGTGATTTTATAGAAGGCTCATTTAAACTGTTAAGGTTCTTGTCTGGTAGAATTATATCTTCTTCGTCATTGATATCAACAGCAGTTACTTTATCTACCCCAACATCCATTATATCATCAAGACCAACACCTTAAAAAAAAAAAAAAAGTGATTTAAAGCAACAGAAAACGGCTGCTAAATATGAACTGTTCAACTTATAAACAATATACCGATACTTAATCCAGGGCTCAACAAATCTCAGGCACCAGGTCGCCATGTCAACTACAAATTGTGTCCTGGCGCCTGAGCTTTTGTCAGCCCGTTCACCATGGACATGCAGTTGTGGCAGCTGCTCTCCTCCCCAGTGCATGCTGCGGTCTGTGTCCCCTTCGGTCCCGCTGCTCTCCCTGTCTATATCAGCAGAGGCAGCGGGGATAGGAGGGGGCACAGACGGCTGCAGCCGGCACCCAGCTGGGAGAAGAGACCGCTGTCAGCCACTGTGATCTGTATTCCCTCCCTGCGCATCTGAGGCATCCATTAATGAACGGTAACCACTTGATCTCAACGGTTACCGGCTTTTGACAGCTGCAAATAGCTGATCACATACAGTGTACGTGATCAGTCATTTGGGGACCTCATGATGTACAGCGTACATCTCCAGTCATGAAGGTGTTAAACATCGGCACTTCATGTCATGTCTCTGCCTCCCTCTTGACCATTCACAAAACACAGATGTATGCAGAATTTTGCGAATGGCCATGTGGAGAGAGGGACGGAGATGAAACACATGCACAGGTATCTAACGGATGTGCAGCAGCGATGTCGGCAGTGAGCCAGAAGTTACATTTGAAACACTTAGGACACACTAAACAGAAGGACAATAAAGGTAATTTTTCAAGCCAACAAACATATTCTTTATGATTTGATTCTGAAAGGGTATTTTTCTAGTATACTGAGCTGTACATGTCCACAAATTACCATGTGCCGAAACAAAACATTATAAAACTATTAAAACATATCTATACTTAAAATCTAAAGCTTGGAGCTTGGCTGTACTAGGACTTTGACACAAAACAATCATAAAAAATGTGCTGCTGGCATATAATTCCTGAATACAAGTAGCACAGTAATTCTGTATATGTTGAGAGAGCCTAGACATACCAGCAATTATACTAGGGCTGCAGCTAACGATTATTTTCATAATCGATTAGTTAGCCGATTATTAAGTTCGATTAATCGATTAATTGGATTAAAAAAAAAAAGACTCCAGTGATGGACTACTAGTTTGTATTGAGATTGTAGTCCATCACGGGAGCAAGCTTGGAGTGGTGGAAGTAAAAAAAAAGTGTGGTGTGCAATATAGTACATTATACAGCGGCGCAATGCAGAATACCAGCAGCTATAGAGGAATACAGCAAATCGCAGCAATAGTAATTATACTATAATGTATTATTGCTGGGATCTGATGTATTCCTCTATAGCTCCTGGTATTGGAGAGGACGGGTATGATGCAGGAATAGAGAGGACGGGTATGATGCAGGAAAAGGGAGGATGGGTATGATGCAGGAATAGAGAGGACGGGTATGATGCAGGAATAGGGAGGACGGGTATGATGGTGGGATGGGGTGCAGAGGACAGGTATGATGGTGTAATGGGGTGCAGAGGACGGGTATGATGGTGGAATGGAGTGCAGGGATGGAGAGGATGGGTATGATGGTGGAATGGGGTGCAGAGGACGGGTATGATGATGGAATGGAGAGGACGGGTATGATAGTGGGATGGGGTGCAGAGGACGGGTATGATGGTGGAATGGGGTGCAGAGGACGGGTATGATGGTGGAATGGAGTGCAGGGATGGAGAGGACGGGTATGATGGTAGAATGGAGTGCAGGGATGGAGAGGATGGGTATAATGATGGAATGGAGTGCAGAGGACGGGTATAATGATGCAATGGAGAGGATGGGTATGATGGTGGAATGGAGTGCAGGGATGGAGAGGACGGGTATAATGATGGAATGGAGTGCAGAGGACGGGTATAATGATGGAATGGAGAGGACGGGTATGATGGTGGGATGGGGTGCAGAGGACAGGTATGATGGTGGAATGGGGTGCATCTGCACATTATGTACGACAAGAACTAATCAAGTATTAATGTATTTGTAATTATTTAGCAAGAATCATGAGCATGCCTAGTAGATCGAATTGGTATTTTTATTTTTTTATGTAATAATGAATTTTAACATTAAATATTTTTGATACAAGTAAAGTAGTCTGACACTTCTTAAAGCCCCAACACCACACTTGTGGTATTTGTTGTTACATATGCTTATTAAAAAGATCAACAATTGTGTTTTAACGTTTCATGTTTCTTTGCTGGAGCTTGTGCCAACTTTGTCTAAACAGCTGAAAAGAATGAACATACCTGTTGAGGGTGTTATCTGAAAGTTATGCTCTGCGTTATCCAAAACTGGTAAACAGAATTGGGTGCTTGCAGATCCAAGCATAGGATCTTTATCACTGAGCATGTTCTTCAAGGAATCTTCTATGACATGTTGGCCTGTGGCAAATTCGTCACAGCCTTCACTTTCTAGGTTAGAGCCTAGAAACAGGGCATCATCCAAGTGCTCAGTTGGGATTAAATGGTTGAATGTGTCAACTATATCCATGAAGACTTCTGTATATTTCAATCCTGTAGAAATAAAACAATATTGCAAAAACGCTGTATATATTACAGTAATAGCTTGATGCTGTGAAGTGAACACAGGACATTTCAATAAACATTTCCTGCAACTAGGGGAACAAAATTCACACACAGGAAATAAACACACATCCCCAAACAGTTTATTTAAATTACTTTTTTTTATTAAAGTAACCCCGTTGCTATATTATACATGCAAAAACAAGCCATAACTATAAGGGGGGGGATTTATATACTTACCTCTCCTGCATGCACAGCTCAGTGTACAATCTTGGCATGCTGTAGATGCTGGGACAGAGTAATTCTGGTGCCTATGCATGGGAGTTATGACATTCCAGGCCACCTGGGGCAAGCCGAATGTGTTGGGCACTGCAGGCAGGGAGAGGCAGATCACCCCTTCCAGTCTACAGCGTCACACTAGGGGAGCCAACTTGGAGAGCCAGACCAAATGATTGTGCGGGCCGTAAACAGAGCACAGGCTAAACGTTCCCCACCCCTGCTGTAGGGGGGTGCTGTGGGGGTAAGTGTGCCATAATGTGCAAGTATGCTATGCATTGTGGTAATCATTAAAAGCTCACCCAATAGGATCTATCTGTGATCAGAAGGTGACGCAACCACTGCGCTCTGTGACATATGACAATAAAGTCACATAATGCAGAATAAGTGTGTTCCCATTTACTGGCAGTACTCAAAGTTCCCTGGGGCACTTGCTATATCTAACTGCTTTCTTTGCAATGGAAAAACAATGGAAAGACAAATAATATGTACTCTAGTGGCAGACATTCTCACAAACCACCTTCTCTGCTACATTCATGCCAAATAACAGTGCATCATAAACCAAGAGCATCAGAATCTCCAACTACAAAGTGAGAGCTTAGCTTTTTCAGCTCTTCTCCACATGCATATATCAGACACATTGGGGCAAAAATGTGGCCTTTCAGAGAAATTGTTGTAGATTTTCCAACATTGTAGAAGGGTTATACTTTGTGCCTCTTTTAAAGGAGAACTATGGGGTCAGGTCTTTTCCCCATAGTTCTCCTTTAAGGCCAAAACACACCTTTAGAATGCAGTTCCCTCATGTGTTGCAGTGCCATTCATCTGGCTGTAACGCATGTGTTGGTGTGCACCACAAAGCATGGTAATAAACTGCATTGCAAAAAAAAAGAATTGTGGATGTTTTGGTGCGTTGCCTTGGCACAATGCACGTTAATGCAGAGCACCAGGATGCCAAAGTGTTATTGGGCCCTCAAATATCAATAGCGCTTAGTTTAGTTTTGAAGACTGTGTAATATATTTATACTTTTTACACTACTAGTTTGAAATACTCTTTTCTCCTGTTACTAGATCACATACGTCTCTCCTGGTAGCAGTAGGTTGCCAGGAGAAGAAGAAAAAAAATATTACAGGCAATGCAGACGTTTGTCTTCAGGGATTTGCTAAAGCTCAGAAACAAACAAATAGGCTAGGTTCACACCAAGCTGTTTTCACGCATTTTTAATTTTGATTTGAAAAATGTGCTGTTTTCAATGCATAGAGGTGTCTATCAGTGCGCCAACCGGCCGAAAATATCTTCTGCACCCTTTTGTGCGACAGGCAATTTCGGCGGCGTGACGCAACGCAAAGGTGTGAACAGGCCCTACTGACTAATTTTGCCACTTTATAGATCATTGGTTCGACCTCATCTGGAGTACGCGGTCCAGTTCTGGTCACCAGTACTAAGAAAAGATGTCCTTGAGTTGGAAAAAGTCCAGCGGAGGGCAACCAAACTAATTAGGGGTATGGAGGACCAGAGCTACGAGACGAGGCTACTAAATTTAAACATGTTCACATTAGAGGTGAGGAGATTAAGGGGGGATATGATTTCCATGTACAAAATGTTTAATGGTGGTAGCAACATTAGCGATAAACTGTTTAAAATTAACTCCGTTACAAAAACTAGAGGCCATAACCTAAAATTGGTGGAAAAAAAATTCCAGCACAAGGTGCGAAGGGGGTTCTTCACAGTAAGATCAGTTAGGGTCTGGAACTCACTGCCACAGGCGGTGATTTCAGCAAATAATGTGGAATTGTTCAAGAAACTTTTGGACGATTTCTTAAGGGACCGTAATATACAGGGGTACGGGTACTCCTAGAATGAGATCCTAATAGGTTGGACTTGATGGACTAATGTCTTTATTCAACCTCAAATACTATGTAACTATGGAACCTGTGCTTTCTACAATAAATCGCCTAGGTGTGAACCTAGCCATACTCTTTTCTGTGCATTTATAAACACTGTATCAGAGACTTCTGTACATGTACTAGCTGATATATTAACAATAAGAAGTGGTTATAAATGCAATCACTGCTTCACTGAATCACATATTTTAGTGAATCATGATTTACTGAGTAACACACCAGCCCTTCAAATTAGGGATGTGCCGAATGATCAGCAGGAGAAACGTTTCGAACTTGATAACATGAAATGGTATTATAGAGATAGAAAAAAAAAATAGTGCCTATAATACGGTGCCTTCCCTGCCGGCCCACAGCAGGAGATTTCGCTGCTTCGCCGCCGCCTCCTCCTTCCCGCCCAGCCGCTGTGTTTAAACTGATGTAAACAGCAGGCAGTGGGCGGGAGAAATAGCCAAGAGCAGGCCGACTACTGCATCCGGCCACTGCCTGCTGTCAATCACCAGAAGAATGGGCTTGAGAGAGAACTCAGTTCTCTTACAGGCCCTGTCCACTGCCAGTGTCACTGGGCTTTACTATAAAGAGACTAGTCGGGCATTTTCGGTATCGGCCAGATACATTTAATATTTTTGGTTTCAGCCACATTTTTTTTTATTTTGGTGCATCCCTACTTTAAATGATATAAACGGGATTATATATTTTATTTAATTCTATACTATATCTCACTGTGGTATCTATTAAACAGAAATTGCTAAAAATCAGAAAAAAAACCAAATCTGTCTTTTTTATCTATAATATTTATGTAATTCCTTTTTAACTGTCACTGTAGAATCCATGTCAGGGACCAGCTAAGCAGATATGAGCTATGTGTATCTGTGTTTGGTCCTCGCATGCTCTGAAAAGCATCCATGGTGAATAGTATTGGGAGAAGATAAAACAACTCTATGGCTTCATATAAATACCTTAAAATATGTTCAAAGAATGACCAGAGTTTTCTTTTAAAGGAGACTACCGTATATTTGGGCTCAATTGTATGTTATTTTTTTTGTCTATATACACACACACACACACACACAATCCTTGATTTACAAATACACATTTGCATGACAAAGAATACTATGGATTCACTAGACAGTGGCTGCCCGATTTGTGAATCCACCCGTCTCATTTTAAGGTTTAATTCACCATTTCACACAAAAATGAAACTGCGACCGTAACACCCTCCTCATATGCCCCCCTCCCTTTCCTGCTGCACTTATCTGTATTGATGACCCTTGCCGGCCACCCATGCTAGCGAGGATAATTGCCCCGGTACATAAAAAATACAGTACACAGCCCCAGGGTTTGTATAGCAACAGAATTCTTGCAAAAGGGAGTGGTAATTGGTTAGTGCTCCAACTAGAGGTGCCACCCTAGAAGAGAGAAGGCTCAAAATAGATTACCATTGGTCAAGAAGGTCACGTGGAAGGTGTTGTGCATTAGTTCACCTTTTTTTTTGTGTTTGTGAAAAGGTGAACTAACGCTTTAAACTTGTAGCTCATCTTTACCATGTGGCATGGGTCACTTCTGTGTATAAAACTCAGCTTGAATTACAAAGCCGGTCACCAAAAGGGTATTTTCAACAGACTAGATAGACAGACAGACAGACAGACGTGTGTGATTAGTTAATGAACATTTTATCATGAGATTATTTTTCAAGTTATAAACAATGAATGATATAACGACAGCTTAGATGACTATGGTTCACCATAGGTGCCCATAAACATTTGGAACTTTGAAAAAAAAATAACACTATTGGATCAGTGGCGATCAGTGGCGATCAGTGGCTAAACTTTGTCGCATCAAACTTTTTATGTTTTTTTTTTTTTTTTACCAGTGTGTGTTGTAAAGTAGCCACCACTCCAAGATCACTCCCATCATGGACTACAATCTAAATTCAAATTAGAAAATTAAATCTGAGGTTGTAGTTCCTCAGGGGATCAAGCTTGGAGTGGTGGCTACTTTACAACACACTCAGGGACCAGGAAACAAAAGTAGTAATCCTCCAGAAGGAAGGAAGGAAAGTTTCAGCACCAATTGAGAGATGATTTGAGGATCTACAGCCGAGTGATGCACAGATAAGATACATTTATGTTTGTAGTTAGGGCACAGAAATGCATTTTTAAGATTTAACTCCTGAGTTTAGTGTCACTTTAAAGCCAGATACAGCCAGGCACCAAACATTCTTTTCACTGAGATAATAACATGCAATCCAACTAGAGGTGCCCAAATCTTTGCATATAACACTGATCCAACAAACTAGCTGGATGCTTTTGATGATTACTGTGTGGGCATCAAACACTCTTTCAAGCGTAAACAATGTCATTTAGAATATCTGTGATCTCAAACCTGTGACTGACTGTGAATGACTCAGCCACATTATTTTTCTGACAGCACGAATCCAACTTAAACTGCATATACACGGAGGGATATGTGTATGAAAGAAGCTGCCGCAGTGTACATTGTATAATGACAGCAGCGCCTGACACTGTCATAATACCTGAACAGTGCTTGCAGCTGATTTGCCGCAAGCACTGTTGGGCCGACAATATTTTAACAAGGCCCTTTTGACAAAAGTCAAAAATCCTATGCAAGTAACATCTTAATGAAAAGTTGTTGCTTGCACAGGGTTATACCGGTTATTATTTATAAATATGTATGTCCACTCAATGTGACAAGATTTGGGCCTGACAATTAGATGCCAAGGCAGCAAGGAGTACTGCGGTAGGCAAACAGAGGAATTGTACCCCATATACCTGGAGTTTCAGGTTTTTCGCTAG